AAGTTATCTGTTGTTTACCATAATTAATAGCCACACATAACAGACCAGACAGACCCATTCATCCCACTAGCATCTGAGGCAGCCACCCTGGTGCGGCCTGAGCAGAGCAGCATGGGTTGGCTGCAGGAACACTCAGAGCTGGGGCTGGGCCTGGCCTCAGGGTCCCAGAGGCACTGTGGCCCAAAGCAGCCTTGCTTCTGTACATGTCAAGCTTCTGAAGAAAAATGCCAAGAGACAACTGCAGAAAATAAGCCCAGCCAGCTGCCAGTATGCCTCTCTAGACTTAAAAAAGCAAAGAGCGACCTAAATTTTTAACTGCAAACTGTATCTATATGCATTCTCTCAAACATCCAGCTACTACAAAAGGGTGTGTCTTAAGCGCCATCGTATACTTGGTCTTCCTGAGAAACTCTGTCACCACTTTTGTATTGGGTGAATGTGAAAGAAGTACTTTTGTTTATACAGATGTTAACATCCTGTATGAACACTTTTTACACCTAGTACCCTCTAAACTAGTTCTGTATGACAGATCTACCTCGTTCTTTATTCACAGCTATAGGCTGTCCTGCCCAGTGGATGTTCTGTGAGTTATTAAGCAGTCTCTCACTGATGGGCACATACCAGTGATTTACTATTTTTTTGTGCTGTTGTAAATGGGGTGATAAGATCTCTGTAACATTTCTGTTTCACTGGACATTTTTATAGTTCTACAGCGACCTTTCTTTCTTGGTATTTGCTTCTCACATGTAGCTCATGATCTCCTGGTTTTCCATCAACTCCTTAATTTTGAGAGCCACGGCAAGATGAGCCTTTACCCCTCTTAGGCATTCTGAGGGAACTCTTTATCTTCCAGTATCAGGCCACAGTCCATGGTCTTCTAAAATAATTTGAAATCACTTTCTTTTTAGCTTTTCATAAAAAGTGGCCGTGGGCTGGGCAAGGTGGTTCACACCTATAACCCCAACACTCTGGGAGGCTGAGGCAGGTGAACTGCTTGAGCTCAGGAGTTCCAGACCAGCTTGAGCAAGAGCAAGACCCTATCTCTACTAAAAATAGAAAAATTAGCCAGGCATCATGGCAGGCACCTGTAATCCCAGCTACTGGGCAGGCTGAGGCAGGAGGATTGCCTAAACCCAGAAGTTGAGGTTGCCATGCACTAGGCTGACACCACAGCACTCCAGCCTGGGCAACAGAGTAAGACTCTGTCTCAAAAAAAAAAAGACTGCGGAAATATTATAGCCATAGTGATTTGCTCTATACATATATACTATATTTATTAATTTCAACAAAATTATAAATGCAAATATTATGTAGAAATGTGTTTGATAATTACAAGATATCTGTTGATGCTCTGATGGTATTTTATACATGAATGTTCGTCCTGTAAATGTTGTCATTAAAATTTCAAAATAACGTCAATAAGACTGTTTCTCCAGGCTTAAGCCACAATGAAGGGGCCTCACTTCCTGTTCACTTCCTCATGTCAAGGCTGATGAGGCACAGTGAGGATCAGATGCCTGAGTCCCCAAGTCCTCCCTCTGCTGTATGAAGGCAGGGGTGGGGATAGGGTTGGAGACGAGCCTAAAGATGGCCACCAAGAGAAGGACTGCCATCCACAGAAGCCGTAGCCATCTCAGCACTCCATGTACCACCCGGCACAGCAGCCTCACCAGGTCTTGCTAGGGGAGGAGCATCATTTCGGTCATTCTGCAGGAAAGTCAGCCACAACAGCTCTCCCAGAGGAGGGGAAGGAAGAGGGTGGGCCATGGGTCACAGCTGGCCCTGAGTAGTGACCTTGCATGGCTGGCCACCTCCCAGTCTGTGTTCAGACTCTCTCCTCATGCTTCCCAAAGGCCTCCTCTTGACTTTTCACCTTGGATGTGCCACACAAGGAAACCATTGTATTTCCTTTTTTTTTTTTTTTTTTTTGAGACAGAGCCTCAAGCTGTCCCCCTGGGTAGAGT